CACCCAGACCTGCTTGCATAGAAAGAAGAAATGGCCAGGAATGTGGCTCAGAGCCAGACTAGGAAAGTCTTGATGATGCCCTAAAGAATTTTTTTTTTCTGTGTTGGTTTTATAGACTGTGGGGTCAAGTTGGAAGCAAACACCACTGGTGATATCCTGATGTTGCTTGAAATACACCAACAGGGTTAGCTGTGTGTGCAAAGGCGGACACCTGGGGTAGATTCTGAATTGGGTGATGGAGAGTGTGTGTGATGAGACCAAAAGTCCTCAGCTGAGCCTCAGGTAACCACTGCAGGCAAGAAACTAATTAGACAGACTGGAAAGACTGGCAGGACGGGGCCGGGCCGAGGTGAGGAAGGGAGAGAAGCAGGAAGGAAGAGCCTGGAAGAAATACTTGTCAATTGAGGGCCCTCCCTGGTGGTGCAGCTGATTAGGACTGCAAGTTAGCCGCAGCCACCTCAGTGCGAGTTCGATCCCCAGCCCGGAAGTGACCCACATGGCGCGGCAGGCCTCTCCTGACCCGCCTGCTGCTCCCCTCAGCAGTGTACTTCGTCAATCTGCCTGTCCTGCTCCCCGCTCTGCCTCTGGTGAATCCTCTCACCGCCCCTGCACCTCTGGCCTGTACCCCAGTTCTGTATGCACAAATAAATAAATCTTTAAAAAGAAAAGAAGTACTTGTCAACTGAATATGGGTGTGGATATATGGCCCTCCTTCTGGGCAGATACACTGAATGGTTGGTGCCTGTGCCTTGTTTGGATTGGGCTAGTAGCAGTCTAGTGGGGGCTAGATACCCCCACTGGCCTTTTTTCTACCCCAGGAAGACGAAGTCCTGCTATTATGTCCATGACTCTGCTCTGGCACCAGGAGAGATGAGACTCTGGGCTCATCTATTCTCTGTGCTTTCGGAGGCCATTTGTGTGCAGGTTGGGGAGCAGCCGGCATTGTGCATGCCCAGGCCTGCCCACAGGAGCAAGTGGACAGGCTGGCGGGAGGCAGAGGTGGAGAGGGGGCATTGCAGTAAAGTGGAGAGAGGCGCCCAGGAGAGAGGCCTCCTGAGGCCCCGGGAACAGCTAGGCAGCTGGGGCATTTAAGGGTGAATCTGACCAGCCCTCTAGAACTAACCAGACAGGAAGTCTCGGGGCCAGTGCGGCCATCAGCAGAGTGCTGCCCGCAGTGCTGACGACAGGGTAAGTGTCCCACCATCCTCTCAGCTGACTTGTGTAGAAAAACGAAAGAAGGCGAACCTGCGGGTGGTTAATAGATGGGACGGCTCTCTGTAACTTGTGGTTCTTATTTGGATCCTGATCTTTTTAAACGACAATAAATAAGTCTGCTCAGGCTGCCACAGCAAAATACCACAGACTGAGGAACTTAAACCACAATTTATTTCTTACAGTTCTGGAGGCCTTGAAGTTCCAGATCAAGGTCTGGCAGGGTTGCATTTCTGGTGTGGCCTCTCTTCCTGGCTTGGGGGTGGTCACTTATCCTCACGTGACCTGTTCTCCAAGAGAAAGAGAGCGACCTTTCTCTTCCTCTAAAGCCAGCAATCCACCCTGTCAGATGAAGACCCCATAATGACCTCACTTAACCTCCTAAGGCCTTATTTCCAAATACAGCCACTCTGGGAGCTAAAAGTTCAACACGTGAAGGGGGAGGGGAGCACAGTTCAGTCCACAGCAGATGACAATTATGAGGAGTTGGCACTTTGAATGCTGGCTGGGTGTTTGATTACATCGAGAAATTATTGCTATCTCTTGGGCTATAACAACAATAATAGTGTTTTATATATTCGTAGACAAATATATAACATATAAAATATACATTTGTTGGTAGAGACATACAGCATTGTCATTATAGGTGTGTCTGGGAATATATGGATACCCTTATCTGTTAGAGTTACTCTGAAATATTTATGGTGAAATCATCTAATGTCTAGGATTTGCTTCAGCATGAAACAGGGAGGGGAGGGGATGTAACTGGGAACAGAGTAGGACTGGCCGTGAGTTGATGGCTGTTGGGTTTGGGTTTGGGGTTCACAAGGGTGCTCTATATTATTCAATATACTTTTGCAAGCATTCTTCACTCCCCACAGTAAGAGATAAAGAACAAAAACAACAAAGTGAGGAAAATTAGAGTGATTTAGGGTTGGGGGAAGGGCCAGGCATCTGGAGGCAGAAACTGCTCAAGCGGAGTGGGGTGTGAGGCCCCAGTGCCTCCCAGGTGCTGGAGCATGAAGCTGGGCAGAGACCAGTCCTATATCCTGGGGGCAGGGAAGCTTGAGGATCATGGTCACCAGGCTCCCAAGCAAATTTTGCTGGAATTACAGGACTCTCACCTTTGCTTTAGAAATTTGATTTCTCTTGTTCTTACTGGGTGACTTTGGGCAAGTTTCTTAACCTCTCTGGTCCTAAGTTTTGTCTTCTGTAAATGAGACTAGGAATATGACCCGCTTTATATGGCTGTTGGAGGATTAGCAGAAATAAAACTTGCAAGTCATTAAAAAGGGCTTGAGTTAGCAATTATTATTATTAGAGTTTCTGGGAGGAAGCTGCCATCCCTTGAGACAATGAGATGGAGACAAAAGTCGTGAAAGTGACTGGACCCCAGTCATGATGGGAAGACAACAGTGTTTCTCTCTACCAGCCCTTATAGATTGGTGATTTGTCGGAGACCAGCTCCAACTTTTGAGGTGTCTGGAAGCAGGACAGGCAGGATCCTAAGATGGGAAGGCGTCGGCGTGCGGAGATTCCAAGGGGGAGAGGGTGCGAGGAAGACACAGGAGTCAGGATTGGGTGCAAGTCTTCCTGCTCATCTTTTTGCAGGTCTTTATTTATACTGTTTAGCAAGATTTAGTTACAATAATGCATCAGGTAAGTTAATAAGAAACCAACATAAAAGTTTTAAAGGAAGAGGGGAACAATGCATCTTTTTCCTGCTACTTTATGGCACACTATACTATACATCTTTGTGATAGCTTTCATGTATACAGATGTTTAACTGACTTTAAAGGATCAGGGTCTGGGAAAGGATGAGCTGTTAGCAAAGGATTTAGGAATCCTAGGAAAGGAATAAATTGTGTTAGCAGAGTCCTCAGTGATAGCCTAAAGAGAAGCTAATGGCTAACTTAAGGTTAGCAGAGAGTAACTAGTGTTTGTTTTAGGAAGAGGTTAGATAAAACTAGCAGAGAGTAGTTAGTGATTGTTTTAGGAAAAGAGTAAATTAAGAAGTCTCATAGTTATGCATTAAGCAAAACCGGTGTTGATAATGTTGGGAAATTGTCCATGGGTCCTTATGCTCTGAAAGTTATCTTAAGAATCGCTTTTTGTCAAAAGACCAAAGAAGTTTTCCAGGAGTCTTGATGCTCTGGGGTCTTATCTCTCCGGGAGCTTGCCTTTTGTCTTCAGTCAAAGGAATTTCCCGCCTAGGAGCAGCTCAACTTGTACTTTGCCCAGGCCAGGTATCCAATTTAGAGCTAAGGCAAGCCAGTTACAAACTGATGTTGCTGCAAATTTTTTTGATATCATGATTATACAAAAAAGGGAGGTCATAACATAAGTTAGCAGTGGAAATTCTGATTTTTCAGAGCTTTTCCTGAGCTACCTAGAATCTGCCAGACGATAGCCGTTGCATAGCTTGTGTCAGTGATTTTTTTTAAAGATTTATTTATTAATGCATACAGACTGGGGAGCTTCCCTACGACCCAGCAATCCCACTCCTAGGTATCTACCCAAAAGACACAAAAACACTGATTGAAAAAGATATCTGTACCCCCATGTTTATTGCTGCTTTGTTTACAATTGGAAAAGCATGGAAGCGGCCCAAATGCCCAAAAGTAGATGACTGTATAAAAAAGATGTGGTACATATATACAATGGAATATTACTCAGCAACCAAAAAAGAGAAACACATGTCTTTTGCAGCAACTTGGATGGAGCTGGAAAAGATCATGCTTAGGGAGATAAGCCAGAAAGAGAAAGAAAAATACCGGATGGTTTCACTCATAACAGGAGTATAATGGACCAGTTGAGAAAATAGTAAGAATAATGAACAGCCATATACCAGAGACATTTTGTGGGGGTGGAGTGGGGAATGGGATCAAAAACAGGAGGGTGGGGAGGGAAATGCACGGGATTATGGTGATGGCACATGGGTGACTTGGTGATGGGAAACCCACGGGGATTACAATTGAGATGGAAAAAAAAAGTACAAAATGATGTAAAAATAAACTTTTGTAAAATAAAAATAATAATAATAATCAAAAAAAAAAAAGCTGTTTGCTTATAGCAGTGAGCAGAGTCAGATGCAGACAAAATTGTCGAGAGGGCCCTCCCTGGTGGTGCAACAGGTGAAAGCGCAGCACTGTGAAGTTATCGCAGCCACTGCGGCATGAGTTCGACCCCCAGCCAGGGAATTGACCCACATGGCGCAGCAGACCTCAGTCAATCCACCTGTTCTGCTCCCCACTCTGACTCGGGTGAATCCTCTCACCTCCCACACTTCTGGCACATACCCCAGTTCCTGTATGTATAAATAAATAAATCTTTAAAAAAGAAAATAAAAATTGTTGAGAAAGTACCAAGTGAAACCTGCTGGAACTTGTGAAAGAGAAAGAATGGTTGGCCACTTGGACCAAGAGGCCAGCTGAAGACCAGCTATTGAAATGATCTCCGGTCTGCAGCTTCCATAGGGTGGCTTCTGGAACTGGGTTCTACAACAGTAGATCACTCTACTCTCTCCCCATGAGGGAGGGGCAGGGCCTGAGCAGGCTCCTCCCCACCAGACAGCACCAGCCTTTCCTCTTTAGAGCTGTGGCTGCGGGACTACTTCCTCCTCCTCAGTCTGCAGTAGGAACAGGCCTCCCCAACCTTGGGATAGAAGGGAGCAGATTCTGGGGTGTCTAGCCCATCTGTTACCTCAGGTGGGGGTGGCTGAGTGTGCTGGCTGGAGGCCTTCCACCCTGCTTCAGGGGCAGCTGAGGGCTACCCTGGAGGCCTCCAGGATGGAGGGGGCGAGTGAGGAGAAGCTGGCATCTGTGTCCAGTCTGGTGACTGTGTTTGAGAATAGCAGGTACGGGGAAGCGGAGGTGGGATGGGTCACCATGGCCGCCTGTCAGCCTCCCTCCAGCTCCCCTGCCCATCTTTGGGCGCTGGGGAAGCTCTGGTGTTCCTAATCTCCAGGCTGAAGACCAAACCCTTCAGTCATGGACTTCTCAGATCATAGGAGAATGTTGTGGGGCACCAGGATTTGGGTGGGGGTGGAAGGAGAGAGTGTGTTATACTGGGGAGAGTCCAGACTTGCATGTAATTATGAGTGAGTGTGGGTAGACCAGTGTTTAGGCTGCAAAACCTTACCCACTGCCTCTGCAGCAGACACAAAAGCTAATACTTACCAAGCATTCTCCGTGTGTGTAGGATAGTGTGGTGTGTATCACTCCATTGGAGCTGTATGCAGATGTCTTTGATTACTTGGGAGGAGGGAGTGGACTGTAGGAAGAGCTGAGACTGTGCTGAGCACACTTGGAATATGGTCAGCTTGTCTATGGGGTAGCTGTTCTATATATGTTTTCTTACTTATTTGATTTCATCATCAAACAGCCCACCGGAGGTAGGTTTGATGTCTATTTCCATCTCTTCAATGAAAAAAAGGGAGTCAGAGAGGTGAAGAGACATGCTTTAAGTTCACGCACAAGGGACAGTGCAAGGACTTTGGACTGAAGGAAAAAAGCTAAGTTGGATGTGGCGGAGGGTCATTGGTGACTGGCAGGAATGGGGTGGGATATGTGTGTGTGTGTATGACATTAATCCATTGTGCAGGCGTTTCTTTCCCTAGGCAGTGTTAGGCACTGTTATTGTAGGTGTTCTCTGGAAATAGTTCTGCGATTTACTGGTGGGAGTTTGGGGAACAACCCTTGGGAATGTGGAATACTTTGGGGCAGAGGGAGAATTTGACCTGCTGTGCACTTGCAACAAGAGACCTCAGCCTGTCTCAGGGATCCCTGGATCAGGGAGGTCTCTCGGGTTGTTCCAGTTAAAGCAAAAGCTTGAATCTTTCTACCCCCACATGAGTCACAGTGAATATGAACTTGACTTTGGTTGACTCAGCTCTCTTCCAGGAAGGGCAATTCCCAGAGCAGGACTCAGTCATTAATCCTTCAGTTGCCATACTACCAACAGCTGTGGAAACCAGCACCTCAGTCCTGACAGGGGTGTGGGTGGAAGAACACAGCATTCCATGGGAGCTATAGTGGATGCAGAAGCCCAAAGAAGGATCTCCACCCTGGGGAGTTCTGTCTGTGGATGCTAAGAGCATAGGAATATCATAAAGCCAGGCCATGGGCAGTGACAATGCTAGAAGGGGCCCAGATGCTGTGCTGAGAGCTCTCAAAGCAGACAGTGCCCCTGTGGGCTTCACAGCAGAGATGGCCTGGATGTGGACCAAGAAGGGCAGTTCAACTCCCTGAGCAGGTTGACTTGACCACGCTTCTCCCAGAGACATTTGCCAAGCATGTTCTGTTCAGCACCGAGGACAGCTCTAGGGGCCACCTCCCTGGCCCCCACCCCATTGTATGTGGGGAGATGGCAGGCTTTGGTCCTGCAGGTCCCCAGCATATGTGCTCTGCCCTAGCAACACCCTAAAAGGATGAGGTAACCCTCAGACAAGAGTGGATCAGAGGAGGCCTCATCAGGGGTGAGAGTCACACTTGGTGCGCAAGAGGCCCCTTGTTTCACTCCAGGTTTTCTTGTGAGGTTTTCCTGCACCTTAGCTGATCTGAAACTGAGAGATGAAGAGGAAACAGAAGCTGGCCTGGGGTACTTGAAGAGAAATGCAGAAGCTAAAACCAAATGTAGAACAGAAAGCCTGAGGCCCTGCTCCTTCTAAGAGCTACAGACCCATCGGCTGAGGAACTGGGCATGGGGGTGGGTTCCCGAGAGGGCTGGGAGAGTCTACAGGAGCCATCTGGGCCTGGGCCCTAGTTTTCTCTCTGCGATGAACCTGCCGTGTAACTTGGGGGTGATCACATTCACTCTCTGGACCTCTTTCTCTTTGACTCAAAGTGGGAGGAGTAGTTTAGGGTTCAGGCTTGAGAAGCTAGCCTGCTTGGTCTGAACCCCACTTCTGCCACTTCCTAGCTGTATGGTGTCGGGGACTGGCCCCGATCATGGGTTGTTGGGGGGCAGAACAGGGTCTCAAGGTGGGAGCAGCATCGGTGAGTGGAGATTCCTAAAAAGGGGGGAAAAGAGGAGCAGGCGCGAGGAAGACACAGGAATCAGAGCAGGATGCAAGTCTTCCTGTTCTGCTCTTAGCAGATGTTTATTTTATACATTAGGAGCAAGCTGTGGGACGATATCAGCACATGAACTGGGCTGAGAGATCAGCTTGGGGTCGTATTGACCTTCAGCTGAGATTATAACCTTTATTATTCTTAAAATCAATCTATTAAAATTAGGATAGGTACATAAATTCATAACATTTAAGGCTAAATTGTTATATTTATCACAGTGATGATTGACTAAAATAAAGTCCCTTTAAACCTTAAATGCTACTTAATGATCTTCATTCTTATTGAGACATTTTAGAGGGTAAAGTCGAGGGCTAGGGTGGAGAAGTTTTCTTGTAGATAAATCGTTATGGAGATAGTAAGATTCGTCATTTAAGACTAAGCAATAAAAAGCTCAAGTAAGAGAGTAGAGTGATAAGATTTGGGTCCTCGTCTGGGCAGTAAAAGAACTCTGATTATTTTTAACATGTTCTAGTACTACTTTGTTTTACAATGTTGATTTTGTTATAAGCCAATTGCTTTTATTAATCAGCCAGTTGTAATATTATTTTTGACTTCAAGAGAAATTACCCGTCCTGGGGCAGTGCTTGCTTGCCTAGGCCAGGCAGCACCTTATGAGGCTAAGGCAATCCAATTAAAAACTGATGGTTGCTTAGAATATTTTGATATAACAAAAAAGGGAGATCATAACATGAGCTAGTGTGGAAATTCTGATTTTTCAGAGATTTCCTTTTCTATCCGGAATTTGTCAGTCGATAGAAGTTGCATAGCTTGTGTCATCATGGTATTCTCTGTTCCTCAGTTTCCTTCATTGAATAATGGGTTGGGCTGCCATTAAAGCCTTTATACACTAATGGGAATGGGGCACAGCCAGGTCACTGGGTCTTATCAGTGAGGATGAGCTCTGTACCTAAAGAGTCTAATGACCTTGCAAGCCCAGTAACAGTAACAAAGCCTACAAATGGCCCATTCACAAGGGACCAGGGAAACTGCTCCCTCTTTGGCCACCCACCCCCCAGAAGCATGAAGTGCACACCACAACTTTTTTTTTTAATTAAAAAAAAATTTTTTTTAATTACTTAAGTTTATTTTTACATCATTTTGTACATTTTTTTTTTTACATCTCGATTGTAATCCCCGCGGGTTTCCCATCACCAAATCACCC